TCTCACACACACACACACACACACGCGTACAGAGGCTCCCGCACACATATGCACACATGCACGCATGCATGCAATCTCCGTCCCTGTTCTTTTCTACCGGGAGGATAAAGCTACGGAGTGCTTTCGAGCCATAGCCAGCCAGCCGTGCCTTCTCTCCAAGGCCTGGAATAGTGTCTGTCTCCTGACTTCAGCGGGGATTCGTTGGATGCACCAAGCAATTTCCCTGCTCCTGACATTCACAGAAAGTGGCATACGATGCCCTAGCTCAGACCAGATATACAGTAGATGGAGGGCGGCTAAACCATCACCAGCATTTGCTTTTGCTCGGAGTTCAGTTGTAATCACCCACAATTCTCCCGGACTCTCAGCAAGCCGGTATGCCTCAAAACGTTTATCGTAGGCCTCTAGCTCCAGAAACTCTGATTCGTGAGGAGCACTGGTTCCCCTTTCAGTGCTTTCCAATGGGCGTCGACATTTTTTTTGGGCATTTTGGAAGATCTTGAAGTCTCAACAATTGTTGCAAACTTTCCGGAAGATTTTGAAGTCTTGCACAGCCATGGAGGCTCAGTTTCAGTTCTTTCAGGTCTGAGATGCCACTTGGCAACTTCGTAAGACTGGTGCAGTTTGACAGGTTGAGCTCCATCAAGCGACCCAAGTTGCTCACTGAATCAGGAAGCGATTCCAATGACCCGGCAGACTGCAAATTCAACTCCCTCAGCTGTGACAAAGACCCCATTTCGTCAGGTAAAGAAGCCAGCGTCGAACAGCCACTAAGGTTGAGGCGAGTCAGATTTCCAAGTTTGCAGATGCCGTCTGACAGGAATGTCAGGGAATTGCATTTTTGAAGGTCCAAGCACCTCAAACTGCTCAGACCTGAAATCCCCATGCCCAAGTCGCAGAGAAAAGTTGACGACGAGAGGTTGAGGCGAGTCAGGTTGCATAGGTTGCCGATTGAGGAAGGCAGGGGTTGAAAAAGAGAAGAGTTCAGATCCAATTCCCTAAGCTCTGTTAAATTCCCTATCTCCTCCGGCAGGTAGGGAAGTCCAGAACCTGCCAACCTTAGCTGTCGCAGCTGAGTCAGAATCCAGAAAGAATAGGGAATGGACTCAAGCTTTCGCAACGAGTCTGAGAGGTCCAGAGAAGTCAGACGTGAAAGACGTCCAACACTTTGTGGCACTGCACGTAGTGTGGCCCATTTGATGGAAAGGTGAATGAGACTTTGGAGGTCACCAATGTCATCAGGGATGGAATGAAGGTTGGAGGATAGAATCTCCAAACATGTGAGGGATGATAACAATCCAATCGTGTCAGGCAAACTTCTGAGCCACGGTGAACCGATGATACTTAGCTTCATCAGCTTCGTCAGGCGCCCTAATTCCCGGGAAACCTCTTGGAGCCAGAACCAGCCCTGCAATTTGAACCAGCCCTGCAATTTGATGGAATGGAGACGTGTCAAATTCCCAATGGTGGAGGGGATAATAGTATCTTTATAAATGCGGTTTTCACAGGATGAACTTATGGAAAAGTCCTGCAGACATGGCGAGCTTAGCAGAAACGGCAACACCCCATCACCAGTCCCTCTCCTCTTGGCAAATGCAACTTCACACATTCTCAGCACTCTCAACTGGCCGAGTTCGCCAATGGCTTCTGGGCTAATGGAAAGCTCCACAGCATTGCAACTGAAGTCAATTACAAGTACCTCCAATTTTCGCAGGTGTCTGATCGAGCTAGGGAATTCTTCATTGGAGGATGTGCCAAAGAAATCCACCCACAACACCCGGAGGTTTGGAAAGGATGAGAAGTAGTCATGTGGCAGCACACTTGGCTTTGGAAAGTTCAGTAATGTCATGATCTGCAGCAGGCTGCTAGAAGTTACTTGCTGCAGAAATTTTCGCCCACTCTCCAATGACTTTTTCTCAAGTGATAGATGTGCATCCTCCTCATTTTCATTAACAAATAGCACTTCACGGCGCCAAGACCAGTAGAAACTCACCAATTCTGCCATTTTCAACGACAAATCTGGAAAGTCTTTTTCAGTGGAGCCACTTGACCGACTTAACATAAATTTCCTTGTGGATTCGTGAATTTCTGCTTCTTCGGTAAAAGGGAAAAGGCAATGATCCTGCAAAAATAGTCGCTGTCTGAATCCATTTGCGCACTCTACTGATCCTCCTCCACTGCTCATCCTTCCCAATGTAACAGTTGGTGCTGAGTCTGAGTTGATCATATCAAGTGCCGCTTTGTGTATCATATCATGTAAGCTCACGTATGAGTCCCCGTGAGCTTCCACCAAGGACAAGCTGACCATTGTGTTCAACCTCTCCCTAGCTGTTTCCAATCCGGAGTCTCCACCAGAAGGATAGATGGACCACTGTGCTTCGACCAACTCACGTGACACTCGCTCATCCTCTGGAAAGCCAGAGAGATCCAGAAACATATCCATAACGCAGCCTGAGGGGTCTATCTCGGCAAGAGCTTCAATGGATCTCTGGAGTGTCTTTATCACTTTTCTGTGAAAGTCAGAGACTGCACCAGGCTGACATTGGGCAGGGTGAGGTCCTTTCAAAAACTCGAGCCACTGATCCCAAAGTCCTCGGTCTTGGTTTCTTGGACAAATGCTTGAAGCAACAACCTTAAGAGCCAATGGTAGCCAACCACATTGTTTGCATACTTTTTTCGCCACATCGTCAAGGTCAGGGGGAGGGACCTGCCTCCCAAAGGCAAAATGACAGAACAATCCGAACGATTCACCCTCCCCCAACGATTCGACGGGGAAGTATTCTGTCCCAGGGATTTGCACAACTTCTCTGTTCCTTGTTGTGACGATGACACTGAAACTATCAAGGAAAACCCTGCAAATCCAATCAATTTGGTCACTTCGCCACACATCATCTATAACGATGAAAAATCTCTCCCCTTTCATTTGCAGCGCTAAAAGTGCACACTTCCTTTCTTCTGCCTTAGCCACCTGTGTTTGACCTCGACCAGATTTAGAACCTCTCTTTCTCATCCACGCCCGGTACACCATGTCAATCATATTGCGGCCAGTTCGTGCCTCACCACAAACTAGGTACATCATCTTATCATTGAACTGAGATCTCACCTCATCACTATCATGAATTTGCTTTGCGAGTGTTGTCTTGCCCACACCTCCCGTCCCATGGAGGCACACGACTTCTGGAAAGCCCGGTGGAGCTCCTGACCCACTGGGTACAGTGGGTAGCATTAAGCTTTGCTGCATCGCTTCCAAAGTAGCCTCGGCTCCCACCAGTATGTCACGGGATGTGACTGGATCAAATGTCCATTCCGCAGGCAAGTTGGCTGAGCTCTGGGGGTTTCGCAGAATGTTGACGGCTTCTTCAACCATTAAGAGGAGACATTGCCTCTCCATTCTCTCAATCTCAGACTGCAGCTTTGTTAATGCCTTTTGACAGCGGCCACGCTTAATATAAGTTGTGACTGCTCGCCACCTCCCACGCCATCGACATTCACTCTTGATGGTCTCCAGGTTCTGGTGCAAATTCCTCAGTTTGTGTTACATGCTGAGAGCCTCCACACGGGCCCCTCACGGGACCCGAGGTTGG